CTTTTCATTTCGACTTTGACCTCCAAAGTCGAAACATTTCGACTTTTGGGTTTTCATTTCGACTTCATGTATAGTCAGAACTATCAGAACCAACAATTATTGTTTCATCAAATCTATAAACTCTGGAATGTGAAGATAGATCAGCTACTCCGTAACTGGTCGATGAAGAACAGCATCTAGTGTTAAATAGTCCTACAACACTATAACCAGTGACTGAAGAATGACTTTTATGATATGGTCTAACTTTTGTGATAATAACGTCATCACTTTCGTCTAATCTTATATCTTCTGAATTATCTAATATCCTATTTTTCAGAACTGATTCATATATCTTCCCCAGTATAACGGCTTCAACTATTTCTCTTATATATTCAGCTTGTAGGTTTATTGTATCTTATTCTAAAAATAAGAGAAAAGATCTGAGAAATGCATTATATATAAATAAATTAATCAGAAATATGAATATATTTGATTCATCTTCCCGTTCTTTTTCTACTAATTTATAATTAAATGATTTGGTGTTATTCTCTTCCCGTGATATATAGTCATGCATAGGATTCCACAATTCGATTTGATATTTGAATATTTGATTTGATCAAATTCAAATCAAAGAATGATTTATTTGATTAAATCCAAATTAATGTTTGATTCGATTTGATCAAATTCAAATCAATTATTCAAATATTTGATTTGATTTGAATCAATAGTAAAGATAATAAAGCCATTTCCAAAGCTTCAAGAGTGGTTCTTACTAAGAAAACCATAGTAAAAACTGCCTCTGCAGCTTCAGAAATGCCTTTTTTACTAAAAAAAACTATAGCAAAAAACGCATCTGCAGCTTCAGAAATGCCTTTTTTATTAAAAAAACTATAGTAAAAAGTGCCTCTGTGGCTTCAGAAATGCCTTTTTTACTAAAAAACTATAGTAAAAAGTGTCTCAGCGGTTTCAGAAATGCCTTTTTTACTAAGAAAAACATAGTAAAAAATGCCTTCAGGACTTTGGAGACGTTATTTTACTTAGAAAACATAGTAAAAAATGCCTCAGCAGCTTCAGAGACGTTATTTTACTAAGAAAACATAATAAAAATGCCTCCACAGCTTCAGAGACATTTTTTATTAAGAAACCTAGTAAAAAATGCGTCTGCAACTTTGGAAATATTTTTTTACTAATAAAATTATTACAAAGCTGAGATGGTAGTTATTACTAAGTTTTCTTAGTAAAACTGAAGTCGCGATGGCAGTTATTACTAAGTTTTCTTAGTAAACTAAAAGTTTTCTTAGTAAAATCGAAACTGCAAAGTTATTTTTCTAAATTTAATAGTAAAAATTTATCTGTTACTAAACTTACTTTGTAAAAACTATCTTTGAAATTTTTTAATGCAATTACTAGTAATTTTCTTAATTAAACTTTAAAATAACTTTATTGTAATATATCATTGTAAAAATTAAAAAAAAAATTATATTTAATTCGATTTTATTTGATCAATTTGATTTAATTTGATTTGATTCAATTCGATCAAATTCAAATCGATTCAAATTGATTCGATCAAATATTTGAGTTCAATTCGATTCGATTTGATTCAATTTGAAAAAATCAAATCAAATTCAAATTGCTTAAATATTTGATTTAATTTGATTTTGAGGAACCCTACTACCTCAGATATTTGCTAACTCTTCTGATCTAACTAGTGAGAAGGACTTAAAAAAAGTGCAAAGAATTTGAAAAATGTCTTATAAAGACTGAAGAAATGCTCTATTCGGCCTTAAAAACTGGTAAATTTCTTGCTGATATATGTGAATTCTTATATAAGCAGAGTGGTATTAGCTATTTAACCCTTAAGTGTTTCACCATGATTAACTAGATTTTTGAGAAGAAAATTTAATCTGACTTCTCAGGATTTATCAGACGAATTATTAGCAAAAGAGGTTGCACAATTTTTGTTTTTTTTCATCGTATTGCTTGGTCCAGTAACTAGCATCTTATCTATTTTAACCTTTTTTTTTTACCATTCTTTTTTGGAATCTCTATAGTTGGAAGGGGTATAGATGATACTTCTGATACTACATCAAGAGTCTATTCCATCTTATCAGTTTGAAAATTTTTATTCAAAGCAGGCTGATTAGAGAAAGATAATATAGATTCTTGTTAAATACGTTCACTATTGTTCCATATTTCATAAATACGCTAAGCACTAATATGGAATTTTTCAGCCATTTTTTTTAATGCATTAGGTATCTTACCTCTCAATTCTCTAATCTCTTTAATATCAAACTTTGACAAGTGAGTTGTATTGGATTGATAAAATTTTTTATGAAGATGAGTGATTATTTTTTAGTTAGAATATATATGCAAAAAATTACCAATAATTTTTTCAATACTTTTCAATGTGTATCAATATTTCTAGTAATTCAATACATATCAGTGTCTTTTAATATGAGTCAATGCTTTTCAATACATATTGGTATCCTTCAATACATATCAGTGCCTTTCAATACATATTAGTATTCTCTTTTAATACGCATCAATAAATATGAATAAGTACCAGTTATACATGAAGTCGAAATGAAAATCCAAAAGTCGAAATGTTTCGATTTTAGAGGTCAAAGTTGAAACAAAAAGTCGAAATGGTCGAAATTACGTCATATCACATGATTTTTTATATATAAAAAAACAAAAAAAAACAAAAGATGT